AGAGATCAGCACAGATGAAACCAATAAAAATGATGAAGGAAATCTAGTTACCAGAGAGAAGAAACAGAGGAAACTATGGGTTGACCACTTCAAACAGCTCTGGAGTCGGCCACCACCTGCACTTCGTCCAGAAATACCACCTGCAGCCCTGCCACAGAACTACAAGTGAACACAAATCACACCACTACTGCAGAAGGTCAGGAAGAAGAGAAAGGTACCTGCAGAATGGAAGAATGGTTATTTTGTCAGACTCCCGAAGAGGGGCGACCTAAGTGTTTGCAAGAACTGGCACAGAATCACTCTACTGTCCACCCAAAGCAAAATATTAAGCTGCATCATCCTGGAGTGACTAAAGGATGCACTGGATTCAAAACTACGACTGGAACAGGCTGGGTTCAAGAATTACAAATCATGGGCGGATCAAATTGCCACGCTACGCTACACATCATCATAGAACAGAGTATAGAGTGGCATTCGGCTGGATCTCAACCTCAACTTCATCGACTTTCAGAAGGCCTTTGACAGCGTCGACCGAGAGGTAATTTGGAAACTGCTTCACTACTATGGAGTACCGCAAACCTTTATCCACCTCATTCAACAACTATATGAAGATGCCACATGCCAGCCAAGTAATTCACAATGGGAAGCTCAGTGATGCTTTTGAAGTTAAGTGAAGACAGGAGTGAAACAAGGTTGCCTACTATCCCCCATGATATTCCTGACTGTGGTGGACTGGATCATGCAGCAAACAGTGGGGAGCGAGAAGATGGGGATACACTGGACTGCGGAAAAGAACCTAGAAGCCATGGATTTCGCCAACGATGACTTGTGTCTAAATGTCGCACAAACTTGAAGATCTACAGGCGAAAACTAGCAAGTTGACAGAAGAGACAGGGCAGCGAAGACAGAACTTCAAGTGAATGTAGAGAAGACAGAGGTAATGGATATACTCAACTAACACCACCAACAACAACAACAAGCTCCAATCACCATCAACGTGAGAAACCTAAACAAAGTAGCCTCCTTCACCTATCTAGGCAACACTGTTTCAAATACAGGCAGCACAGACGAGGATGTCAAAGTAAGGATCGGAAGAGCAAGACAGGCGTTTATTTACCTGGAACCAGTGTGGAGATCTGCACTGCAGTCAGAATGTGGAACAAGATCCGGATTTTCAACATGAATGTCAAGTCAGTGCTTCTGTATGGTTCAGAGACTTGGCGCGTAAGGAAAGGGATTTCCAACAAACTACAGACATTTATCAAGAACTGCCTACAATGGCTCGTTACTGAAGATCAGATGGCCAGAATAATAAGAATAAGCAACAATGAACTCCGGTTGGCTGGGAACGGACCAACCAAGAAGCTATCGAGGAACAAATATGCAGAAGGAAGTGGAGATGGATTGGGTATACACTGAGATGGCCGACTGGGGTCATCACGCCCCAGGCCAGTCAATCGAGTGGAATCCAGATAGGAAGCGACCAGCTGGGCATCGGAGGCGAGGGTGACATGGAGGAGATCGTGCTAGGAGGGAATGAGAGCTTGTGGGCTGTCGTGGAGCCGCGTTCAAAAGATTTCAGAGAACAGAGTGCATTGGAAACGTGCTACTGAAGCCGTATGTTCCATTAGAAACCCAAGAAATATATAAATAATAAATAATAATGAGTACTTGGAATCAAATATTATAATGTCGATAAAGGCATATTGAACACGCGTAAAGTGCATATCAGCACACACGGAGAATTAAGTTCTATTGTCTCTAGGCGACAGCTGATACATCTTCAATAAAGTTTTATCTGCACATTTCTGTAGTCGTAACCACATCACTGCATTTGCCTGATTCTGAAGAATTTAATTTGCATGACTGGTAAATAGACTGCGCGTTTGTCTCAAAACTTCTCGAATCACGCAGATTACATTACAGTATTCACCTAAAAAGTGAGCAGATTGATGAATTTGAGCAATCAGTAGTTGTTCTTTGGAGATTAAGGAATTTTTAAAATTCCAAATATCACTCATAAAAATATGTTTTTGAAATCAATGTCCGAAATATTCTAGTAAATTACTTATGCACCTGTTTCCGTGACTTAGGCATAAGTAAAGAACTTATTCTTAAACAGAAACCTATATCTCATATGTATGGAAACCCATACGGTCTCTGCTTTCGTTCTGTGAAAAACGTAAGGGCATGTATATATATATATATATATATATATATATATATATATATATAATTGAATCACATTTAAGCGAAATAACATGGATTCTCAAATATTTCGATCTGATACATTTTGTTCAGCTAACGAACTTGAAGAGAGTGATAAGATCAAATTGCAGGGTGTGGATTGTATATGGGCGCATTCATCATCTGCCTGCAGACCAATAAAAGTCAGTTAATGAAACGAATAACGATCAACACACTTCAACATGCTTGAAATCCATAATCCATTGCTAGGCAATAAAGAAGACTGAAGACTAAAGTTGAAAGAGAACAGTTAAATATTGTGAGGTAATATTATTAGAGTTTCGGCTATAGTTAAGGAATTAGAGTGATAATCACCTACAAAAGTCAGCGAGCAGACAGTAATGAGCACAATACGAAATTACATTGACATGAGATTCAATAGACGTCAACAAGTTGTAGTCAGTGGTGAAATAGAGAGAGGAAGATAACAGAGAGAAGCTATTCAAATCTCTAAGGTCGATTCTCCGTACCGTAAGCTAAAACGGCGATTGGTAATCCAGTAGAAGACCGTTAGTTAGCAACTGTCTAGTTTAAACTTGAAAGATGCATTCAAATTCGAACCAAAAGTTGAACAGGTAAACGGATTACGTAAACTAATGACTTTATGCCTAAAACCTATCCTGTAAATCAATCCTGTTGGGGGAAAGTTAAGGTATCTGTAGCAAGTACTCAGTACGCAAAATATAGCTCAGATAATTGCTGCTGTCATGAATTAGAAATATTCATTTCAGCTCAATGATTCATTATATTATCAAGCCAACTGGGTGGTTATGGGTGTCTTTATGAGACGCATTCTCACCAACGTATTTCTGCAAACTGTGAAAGAATGAAACTAGTCATCGCGATGAGTGAAACAAAATTTTACATTAAGCTCACTCTGCTCAAATTATTGAGTGAACTGTGTTTTTGGAGATTTGATATAGTAGTATAGTAAGTTGTTTTATATTGTGGTGGTTTCCGAAATTTCGAAACTTTCTTTTTAAAGAAATTAAATAACGGCTGAAATTAACAGCCTAATTTGTAGATTTAAATTTGCTTCTAAAGAGTCAATATGTTTTCTTGGGGATTAAAAAAATAACTGGAAAATAAATTTTATTGGCCACTGGACAAGATAACAGTTAACCCTAAAAACTAAAACGCTAATTTTTTTGTCTTCCTGTAAGCTTACATGTTTTGAAGTCAACTATTTGTGAACCAAAACTTAAGACCGAATTTGATACACTGCTTAAAACTAGCTCCTCAGTTTTCCAATCATTATTCATCAAAAAACATAGTTGACATGTACATTTATATAAACGATCCTTCTAGTAATACCTCGAGATATATCGTAAAATTCCATATATAAAACAAGTAATTTTAAGCAAAACCGGTGCTAAAAATTTATCTTTCTCAATGCAGTAAAGTGGTGATTTCAAGCAAGCATTTAAACAAATGACTGACACTGCCTGAATGTTAGAAAGAACATTTAATAATTATCTCTACTTAAGGCTTTTCAAAAAAATCTTCACGTCTTACAAATTTTGGAACATGCAGAAATAAAGTATAAAATACTTGAAAAGAGAAGCAAATGGAAACTTGAACAGTCAATCATCTTTATCAAGATACTTTTTTCTGTTTAGAGATAAAGTTATTGTTATCATTCATATCAGGATAGTAATGGCTGGTGATGTGAAATGGAAACTGCTTCCTTGCGACCAAAGTTACTTGCTTAGTGTATTACACTGGCATGGAAAATAGGTTATGCTGGCTGTTTATTTGCTGCTTGTTGATAATCTTCAAGATTTAAATACTAAAATCTGTGGATCTTCACTTAAAATACAATGGCAAAAGTCAAATATATCTTTGGAATTTCCAAACTCTGCTGCACAAATAATTCTACATTGATCCATACGGATAATGTAGAGGTACTGGGAGACCGCTTTAAGGCTTATTTACGTCCATATCACAGTTCAGTTGGACTGACATTTTGTGGTTACATGGATGAATATCTTTACGGTATATACTATCACACAGAAGAAAAAGGCGCTTCAAAGTGGATCTAAGTTTCTAAACGTTTTTAAAATTCTTATCTGCTGTACATTTTTTTACATTTCTTCGTTAAAAGCTAGAAAGAAATGACCAATTTTTTCTTGGTGCTCTTAGGTTAATATTGTAGTCGTTGAAGAATGGTAAGATTCTATGGTTCTTTCGAAACACAATTTTGAAATCTCCACATTACAAGACCTATCATTCTTGTGTGAACACAAGGAATGAGTAGTAGTTTTAATCCTTAACAATGTCAGCTACAAAAACTGCAGTCCAACCCCATTTAGTTGACCTGTTTGAAGTTGGAAATGAACATATAACTGAGATTTTATTAAACGTTACTACTTGTAGTCACTATTCCAAGACTCGTATTTTGTATTGGTGTACTCAGGAGGTGTGGTCCACTTGAAATGGTCTTATATTTAGTATTCTACACTGAAGAAAATGTTATTCAGCTTAACTTGCACTTAGATTCGCTGTGTTCGCTGACGTCCGTAAGTGATTTTCTTTACAATCAAAATACATCCTTAGTGTGTATGGTTGCAAATATGTTGAGTCTTGAATGTCTTGCTCTAGTACATTGGCGATACTACAGACTCTGAAGCAATCTACCATTGAAACTAATTGCAACCCAAGAGATAATATGATTTCCTTTTTTCTTATAGTAACATTCCAGGACATTAATGACCTTTTTCTAAATGCCTCATCCTGCTTTTTTATTACTTCAGCTTCGTGCACGTTCAGAAAACAGACCAAATGTCACACGATCTGTTTCAGTACGATTTCCAAACAACCTACAATGTCTCAATCGTTCACCCTACCACCCAGTATGTACAAATTCAATTGAAACAATCCGTCCATCTAACGGTAATTATCTGCTAAACAACCCACAAAATCAAAACATTCATCAACATCAAACATCTCTTAATCATCCTTATCACACGCATAATTCTGATCAGAATCAGTCAAGTGAACATCAGCATTATTATATGCAAAACCCACAATCTCAACCAATACTTTTGCAACAGGCTCTTACAACTCCAGCAGTATTACCGACACAGTTGACACCTCAACCTCAACTACTTTCAGTTCTTCCAAATCATCAGACGCCTGCAATTTTATATCCAAGTCTTGTGTGAGTTCCCATGACCGATAAACTTGGAGTTTTGATTAACCAAAATGATTTATTTTCTTTCTCATGAACATTTTTTTATTAAGGTAGTTAAACCTACCGCGCTTGAAATACTTAGACTAATTTGCATTTCTTATGAATTTCGTAAGCTATAATGTAACCATTTATAATCAGCTAAACACAGCACATCCTACATTTCTTTGAGTCGCCTTACTTTACTAATGACGAATGCGAAATACTCCTTCGTCTATTAGTTTTTCTAGTGGTTAGAAATGAGACAGAAAGGATTATGGAATGATGATAGTTAGCAATAGATCATACTACGAAGATACAGATATCTTATCCTTGCTACATTTGTAATATAATCAGACAGTTTTCAAATTCTGACTTTTACCTCATAGTGAGACAGCTTTGAAAAACTTTATCAGATTTCTAAGTCACATCGATTGTCATGATTTAAATCATCGTAAGTATAACCAGCTTTTTCCTGTAATGCGGTAATTCATACATTAGGTTGAGGTTGAAAAACATCGAAGGAGAACTTCACCGACGTGTGGAATTGACTTAAGATTGCAGCAATTGAATATTATAGATTTCTCTGAATAAAACAAATGAATGGTTTTATAGAACATCATAAATCAAACCTGGAATCAATATCCTTAAAATAATAAAGGAGTATGTTAGTATTTTTATCCGGTTTCTTTGGCTGATCAGACCGATGTATTCCATTATCAAGCTTATATTGACTTGGATGTAATTTATTCTGCAAAATATTATATCTACGTCCTTTCCTATCGCTGAGGGAAATAACTGACGTGAAAGTAACTGCAGTCTACAAATTTTCCTTCTATTTCAGGGTATGAAAATCAAATACGAAACCAACATATGTGGCAGCTAATAAAAGTATGATATCTGCCGACAAATAGGCAAATATCATGTACCAAGTTCCCCTTTATGAATTTGAAGAAAGCAAGAAGACAAAAAGCAGCATTAATCGGATCCATTTCATTTCAGTGTCATCTTGTCAACTGCTTACGGCCTAGAACATCGTAATATCATAGTTTTACTAAAAATTTAACAAACTTTCATTCATTGAAAGAAAACAGATTATCGGTCAGCGGATAAGACGGACAGAAGTGGTCATAGAGGTAGGGTCAATCATTAGGGCAGATTCAAGGGAGGTTCATAAATATTAACACGTTGTCCACAATTATATATCTAACCCAATGGAAGTTTCTTGAATACAAATCATCACAAGAGTAGCTAACAATAAAAATACTCAGGGGATTAACACCATAAAAATACTTAAGTAGGTCATGTAATTTATAGCAAAATATTGTGAGTTAAGCTCAATTAGTTAAAATCATGTTATATGAACAAAAGATGATGCAACCAAGATTATACCAAAAATAGTCAAGAATGAATTACCAAGGTTAATAGATATCCTAGATTGTTAGTACTTGACGAAATACCCCCTGCTCGATTTTTGTTCTTAACCTTTTCGAAAGCTAAATATCAGCAATAAAGAACTACATTAACTATGTGTGGCTAAGACTGCTTGACCCTCATTTTTATTTTACTTATTTATGTGTATAGAACATCAGTACTACTAACTGCAACCATGCTAAAAGATATCGCTAACAACCATATATATATAATTAATCCAGTTTTAACTTGTCAGGGTTTGGAACCATATATTGAAATTTACATAAGGGAATCTTGACTGAACTCAAGCTACATTCTAAATTATATGGTGGTCAACCAATGAATCCAGAAACAAACGCTTTATTTGCAGCCAGAATTTTGTAACTGTTTACAAGATCCTAAATACTTTGACTCTCATGATTGCTTGTCATATGAGAGAAGGATACGCAAGTTTTCATGCTTAATCACAGCATTCTAAATATCTAGCCGATAACTTATCAGTCACCTCAAACTACTACTGGACAGGGAAGGAGAGTAGCGGGAAAATGAATTAATCTACATTAACTAAGGGGCCTGTAGTATCTCATATGCAGAAGCTGCTATTTATGAGCTAATGTGTATCGCTGAAGGAAGAAGAGTTAGGTTCTTAATCGAACAGGATGATGATGAAAAGGAATGATACTTGTTCAGCAACCCATTGACTCCTGATCTGTGTAACGTATGGTGGTGTAGGCTTTCAGAGGTACTCAGGTGACAGATGAAGACCAAGAGTTCATTGGCAACTATTATTCCTGAAATGAAATCAAAGTTTTATCTTTCGAATCTTGAATGCCATGCATGCAACTGTTCGGCCTACCTCTGTATAGTGAATAACGGTCGAAACGATGTCAGTAAATGTTATTAGGAGTTGCTAATGTTTTCTACTATTAATTAAACTATCTTAGGTGCTCTTTGTTTTCAAAAGCTGATATTTAAAATTGAAGATGATTTTATTTCAAAGTAAAATTCTATCACTTATTTTCGAATATGGCACTTACATATTGTAGAAACATTTCTTCAACAGCTGACCATCAAAACTCAGGTCGCAATATGAGCAACAAAGAAACATTTTTTCTTCAGTGAACTGACTGTCTTAGTTGTGCATTCTTAAATGTTTAGTAGACACGATAGGACATTTCGGAGTAATTCTCTATCAGAGACAAAAACTAATTGGATGGCGAAGTTACGCAACATATATACGTATTTAAAATAGAAAACAGAACGGATGATTGTAAGATAAAATACATTTATACAACAAGGGAATAACCCAGAGTGATCAATCCTTTGCGATTGCCAAGGCAACGAAAGAGGTTGTACATTTTTCTTTTGGATGCACAATAACTGTTTGAACCTACGAATTGTTAATGCTTCAACCATCTCCAGATGTCTTAACCTTACACACCCCGAGTAGTTTGGTCGTACTTTGTGCAAAATTTCACTTCTGTAGTTATATACATGTTATCTTAACAAGCATGAAAACCTATGATATGCTTAACAAATAGAAAATGAAAGTCTGAGAAATAATACATATGGTATCTTCAAGTTTTCAGAAAGACTATATCTAAAATACACTTCATGACAACCAAAAGCATATGTACTGAGAATAACAAGTTATAACACCAGTTTTTAAACTCACCTACAGCGAAAAGTGTTTGGTGAAGCATTGGGAAGTGTTTTGCTTTGCTCTTAACTTTTAATTTCAAAAAAACATGAAAACTTTCATGAAGAAAATGAGGGCTAATTTCTTCATCTGTCTCACCGCCTAGTTCTTTCATCATTTTGCCACAGATAAATATCTTTTTTATATTCTAATCAACTCAGTTTCATATTTTCAATCCAGTGTACCACAAGTTCTTCATCTCTTATAAAATTCTGAAACAAAACACAGAGTAATACCATCACCAAATTAGACATCATACAATCTTTAGATTATTTACTACTATAAAAGACACTTAGTTTTGTGATTCTATAAACCCAGTGTTTAACAGAATGTCTAGAATATATTTCCTTAAGATAAAATCTTCAAAAAATAAATTTAAAACTGCACGAAGAAGCTAAATAATATAATTATAACATGGATGTATCAAGGACACTGCCGTTTACTTGTCTAAGAAGAAATGAATGAGGATTTTGTGAAATATATATTCCTTTTAATTCTTTTATTCCCATTAGATCTATAAAACTTCAGTTAAATCCATAAAATATGAAAATATTAGAAATGACATGTATAAATGTCAAAAATCGAAAGACTTTACAGCAATGTAGAATATATGTGCATAGACTATCTGACAGTGAAGAATACTTCGATCGGTTAAGCTTTTCCTGTGTAGAACAAGTCACAGCGATTATTCTGACTTTCGAAGTAAAATATTCAGCTAGTAAGGTCTTGTAACTGAAGTAACAGGGGTCCAGTATTATCCCAACTTATGTTAATGTGTAGTGACAACCATCTGGAAATCAATTAAACAATCACTTAAGTAGTCTGAGAATTGGGTGTGGTTCGAGTGGAAAAGGATGAATCAAGGTGGATTATATAAATGTTTAGAAAGTCAAGAATGTTTGCTTCTGAAAGAAGCTGAGTCGAACTGAATTTATCAACGCTGGCAGCGAATTAAGCAAAAATAGGAAGAGTAACCTAATCACTCTCTATCCACTCACTTACTTAATAGTGGATACATAATTAAATTAAGTTCGAAGCAGATTTGTATTAACCTCTGTTCTTCATTCTAGCTTATATTTTAGATTGTCAAAACACTTTCACCTAATTTAAACTCTAGTATTTAGGCATAACATTCTAGGTAACTGCTTTCGTTTTATGATTCATCATTTTACAATTTTTAGCTTAAGATATTATCCTAGGCCCTTTAGCAGATTAATACACTACTCACTGCTGTATATAAAAGCTTTAGGCTCTACTGCTTTCTTCAAATAAAGTGAGATTTCTAAGAACTTTGATACAGGAAAAAAAGTGTGAACGTAATATATAAGATCAGATTATTTGGGGTGAGCATTCAACAATGGTATACCATATTACTGATAAATGATTGAATAGCTTGTACACACTGTCCTAAAGAAGTTAAGTATCCCTACAAATTTCGTTCTTATCTTGGATACCACTGTACACTTACTTGAAGCAATCTGTTTCGAAAAAAATCATTTATACTAGTTTATCAGACAGAGGTGAATAAAATAGCTTGGTTCACAATTGTGCATTCAGTTATGTCATTGGCAAAAGAAATTATGTTATCATATATTATTTAAACGACAAAAATTACCCCTCACCGTCTTCAACAGCTAAAATCTAAAAGACAATCTGAACTTAAAGCACCCATTAATATGAATATGGGTAATAAATTATGTCCGAAACCTTATTCAGTAAACAGTTATGTTTCACTGCCATACATAAGAAGTAGACTAAAATGGAGTTTCTTTCTAAGTTAACTGAAACTCCTACGTTTATAAAATGAATACCACATCAACATATAGACCAAGAAATCGGAAAATACATTGTTCAGAACAGAATATAACTTCTGAAGTGT